CGCCTTTCGATCTCGGCACCTCTGCTCTCTGTCACCTGCTGCCACACATTCGAGGTGGTTCGTCCGCTGATGTGGTGGTGGTGGTGCAACAACGTGGACGGCTTGTACAGGGGTGCCAGAGGAGCTGCTTCTCGCGCGGCTGAACGAGCACGGAGCGCACGCGTTCCTCCCGCTGGACGCCGAGGCGTTCACGCTGCTCTACTTCGACGTGTTCGGCGCGCTCGACAACTTCCGCAAGAAGAACAAGGGCCACGCCCTCGCCACGGCCGACGGCCACCTCCCCGACGGGGGTCACAGCGGCAAGAAGAGCAAGGACTGCATCATCTCCTAGAAGCCTCCACCACCACCACCTCCCCACTAATTGTAGTCATATAACAAGCTTGTACACTGGTCATTGCCATTGACAACGCCCACGTTGCTGTTGGGCTATTTACACACAGCTAGTGGCGTGCACCACCACTCCCACCGCATCGCCTGGCGGGAGAGGCCGCTCACAGGTTCTCGCTCATCGGGTCGAGTTGGTCGCCGCGGCCGAAGGTGTAGTTGTCGGGGCTGCCACGGTAGCCGTTGAGCCAGTACATGGCGGGCACGTTTTGCCGACCGTCGAGGTCTTCAACGATGAGCACTGGCGCGATCTCTAGTCCGCACAGGGGACAGCAGAGCGAGCCGTTTACTTCCACGAGGTCGCTCCGTCGCAGTCGCTGGTGCTGGTTGTCGGGACAGGTCGGCAGCTTGGCCGACGACGGTTGCCATCTCTCATTCGTTGGGCGGGTGGTGACGATAAAATCAGGCAGCAAGTGGGCAGACGAAGGCGAAGTGGAGGGAGACGGAGAAGAACCACTCGCCCTTCTTTGAAGATGAAGATTGGGCCGAATCGACGTGGTAGTGGTTGCCATTTGATCAAATCTTTCTTTTGATGTTTAAACAATATTTTTCCGCGGTACAGGGTGGCCAGATAAAACCTCCCAACGAGGGCTCGCGTCAACGAAATGCAGAGGAGGAAGAGGCAAGAACGAAGGTGAAGCTGTAGTGCTCTCCGTTGGGCTTTGAGCTCAAGCAGAGCTACGTAGACGTGAGAGTTGGTACAAAAACCTACCTTTCCTCCCAAGGTAAATCGATAGCCACAACACCATACAACATCATGGCAGGACTCGCGCACGCAATGGAATCCCAGCTGTCACAGGCCAACGAAGAGGGCATCAGACGAGACCCTACGAAGAGCGAGCACTGGCATCGCGAAGAGGACAAGCCGGCGGGGGAAGGAGGCCGGCCCCGAGCGCAAGGGCGACGAACTCTCCCCCGTGGACGAAGGAGCAACTGAATGCGGGCTTGGGGACCGAAGGCATTGCGCAGGAGACCCGAACCATCGCAGAGAAGACCGACCTCCTGCAGCGAGGCGAGACCGTC